CACCCACATCCACCCGCCAAGCAGGGAGGGGACCCCCTGCCGCGCCTCGTCCCCTCCAGAGCCGGGCTGAGCCTCGCCGGGGCGCCGCTCCTCGCTGCTTCCTCCTCCTCCTCCTCCTCCTCCCGGAGCGGCGGCGGCGGCGCCGTCGGGGATGCTCCGTGCGGGGGACCTGTCTCCGGGGGCCTCGACGCGGACCTTCCTGGAGGCCATGCGCTCGGGGCGCCTGCACCTGGCCCGCTTCGTGCTGGACGCGCTGGACGGCGCCGCGGTGGACTGCCGGGCGGAGCGGGGCCGGACGCCGCTGATGCTGGCGGTGCTGCTGCCGGAGCCGTCGCGGCGCCTGGCCTTCGCGGGGCTGCTGCTGGAGCGCGGCGCCGGGCCGGACCTCCGCGACGACGCCGGGCGCAGCGCGCTCTCCCTGGCCTGCGAGCGGGGCTTCCTCGACGCCGCCCAGCTCCTGGTCCGGCACGGGGCCGACCCCGACGCCGCCGACGCCCGAGGCTGGAGCCCGCTCATGCACGCCGCCGCCCACGGGCACCACGCCCTCCTCGAGTGGCTCCTCCGCGCCTTCCGACGCCTCGGGCACCTGGCCCTCGACCGACGGGACCCCGCCGGACGCACCGCCCTCCACCTGGCCGCCCTCGGGGGGCACAAGCGCTGCCTCCAGGCCCTCCGGGAGGCCGACGCCCGACGCCCCCGACGCCTGGCGCCCAGCACCGACGACGAGGACCGCCACCAGGACGCAGCCACAGCCGCCGCCGCCGTCCGGGGCCCCGGAGGCCAGTCCTCCCCGGACGCCTCCCTCCCGAGACGCCCGCTGGTCCGCAGAGCCACGGCGCCCGACGGCCAGAGCCTCCTCGGGTACTAGGACCCGCGTCCACACCGCAGCGCTGCCCCGCTTTGGTCCCGCTTTCTCGGCCACCACGGAACGCTGGGAATAGTCGCCGGGGTGGCGTCGGACCAATCTTCTCAGAAATGGAGAGTTTCCACAGAAGTTACTGGACCTTAATCCCACGGATTAGGCATCTTGCTTAAACCCAGAGCAGAAACAGGATTTAAAAATCTGGGGGGAAAGCCCACAAAGGGGGGTTGCAGACTGCCAGAAATAGTGCAAATTGAGTCCACTTTTAGGGTTAGGGTTAGAGCTAGGGAATCATGGGAACTGTATTTTATTGTGGCACCAGAGCTCTCTGACAGAGAAGGCTCAATGTCTCAGAAAAAAACACAATTCCCATGATTCCCTAGCACTAACCCTAACCCTAAAAATAGACTCAATTTGCACTATTTCTGGCAGTCTGCAACCCCCCAAAAGCAGGTTTTTTCAGACGTGTTTGTGCAAAGGAGAAATAACGCGACATTAACCGGAAAGTCGCCCAAGCCCGCTCCTTTTTTACTTTTCGGAAGTAAAAAGGAGCGGGTTTTGTCGGCTTTGCCTTTGGATTATTATTTTTGGGTCATTTTTTCTTTGGTGCAAATGGGGTCTGAAAAACAACCAGCAGTTGCAGGTTTTGCCTGACTTTCTGTTTGGGTTAACCCCAGATGTCGTGTGAAAAACAGCTTGCAAAAGCGGCTTGTTTTCACTTTAAATCTAGTTTCTGCACAGGATTCGACCTCTGTGATAAACTCCAATGAGTGACACACAAAAATTGTGCAATTGACATTACAATGTGCTTAAAACGACCATTGACTTTATCACACTTGGGGACCAATGGCAGAAATCCCATGCAGAAACAGGATTTAAAAGCCGGAGGGAGAGAGGGACCTCGCAAAAGCGGATTGTTTTTCGGACATGTGAGACTAAACTGAACAGAAACTAGACAAAACCCGCTCCTTTTTACTTTCAGGATTTTCCGAAAGTAAAAAGGAGCGGGTTTTGTCTAGTTTCCATTGGGGTTAGTGTTGTGTTAATGCTCATTAATGCTAACGTCGTGTGAAAATCAACCCACTTTTGTGGGTTTTGTCTACGTTCTTTTCAGGTTAACCCCTTGATGTCGTCTAAATATCTACCCACTTTTGCTGGTATTTGGGGTTTTTTAAGCTTTAAATTCAGTTTCTGCACGGGATCCATCCTGTGTGATAAAGTCCAAAGACCACGCGTCCGCACGGCAACGCTGATCCGGTTTGGTCCCGCTTTCACGGCCACGGCTCCTGGCCCTGGAATGCTGGGATTGGTTGCTGGTTGTGTCACTCGGTGTGAAATCTGACCAAGAGCATCAGCAGCAAAAAGACATCTTTAGACAGCTTTAAAAAGGCCGTCAAGACGGATCTCTTCCGGCAGGCCTTTCCAGGATAGATAATCCCGGCCTCAGGAATCCCTCCTGTAAGAGAGCTTCTAGGTTTTTAGTTTAAATATGTAATTAAGAACTGCAGCCATATTGTGAGTTGTTTTTAAATATTGTTGCTGTGTTTTTATATTATGTTTTAATTTATAATTTGATTTAATAACTTTTTAAGGGGTGGGTGGGAATTAGATTTTATTGTTGCATGTGTATTTACTGTTGTTAGCTGCCCTGATTGATCTCAAAGGTGCGGGATATAAATAAATTTCATCATTATTATTATTATTATTATTATTATTATTATTAAAGATTGTACAGTCCAGGATGCGCGCAGGGACCGCCAATATTCAGCGGAAACGATAATCCCTGATCAGACGCCACTCTTCATAATAGTCCAATGCAGGGGTAGGCAACCTTTCCCCTTTAAGGGCCGAGGGACTTCAGCTCCCAGAATCCCAGGAGCTATTGCCCAACATGGGACTATTGGCCAACATGGCTGAGGCTTCTGGGAGCT